AATATAAGGGGCAGATATTCTTCTTCTTTCTGCACCCTTTTCATTAAATGTTTTTTTTATCTTTTTTATGAATTTGTTTTGTTTCTCTTAAATGAATAAATACATTTAAAATAAATGGACAAAGTTGAGAGTTTTATGTTTATTTGACGGTGATTTCAATTTTTTTTAAGGCTATATACGAATAAAAGGAGAACATTAATTTATTTGTACAGTTTTTCTGAGGCTTTTATATTGTTTATATCGATACTGAATTATACTGTTATCGACCAAAATTAAGAAATATATCATGATGAAAGGCCATATTGTTCAGCCCTACTGAGGAGTGATGAGATTAAGAATGTGTAAGAATGTGTGACAGTTGTGTGACAGATGTGATGGACTGTGGCTGAGTGATGTAATCTAAACACCATTTATAATATTTTCATCCTTGTTTGTTCTAGGACCACTCCTATGCTCTGCCTTCATCCAAAGATGAGCTGAGGGCCAGACTCAGGGAAGCCTTGGCTCGGGTGGAGAGTCTGGAAGAAGATTTGAGGTCAAAGAGCACTGAGAGTGATCTTCTGGAGGATCTCCGGGTGAAGAAACTCATAAATGAAGAGTTCAAAGAACAGCTCGATACATCATACTCAGGTAAAATTTCATTCATTCATTCAACCTTCATTTATAGGTTTAGGGCTTGGTACCTTTCTAAAAAATTTGGTGTTGGTACCTTCACTTCAGTATCTGTTTCTGAACGGTACTTTTTTCTGTACCGATTTTATAATTAATATTCTAACAAGAATAAATTTATGTTACACATTACAGTACAAATCTTGAGTATTATTTTTTAACTGGTATTTTTCCATTCCAAGCAGTTTTCTTACATAAAAATAAATAATTTCCAGTTCAAAAGAACAGTTTCAAACCAGTGACACGTCAGTGTCTAATGCTCACTGCTACAAATTTTTCACTGAACAGTTTTTCTACAGAAAAATCAACATGTCTGTTTTCTCTGGACACAAACAAGCTGCTCCTGGCTGATGGTGTCTCCAGCAGTGAAAATATCCTCTCTGAGAGTGTGGATGATGATTGTTGCACACACAGATACCTGGTTGTTAAGTTTGATAGCACTGACATAGTGTCCCTCACATTCCACCAGCAGGTCACTGGATTCATTTACCCTTTTTTATACTGGTAGTCTCATTGAGCCACGAGAACTCATTTTCAAGAGAGACCTGTTTAGGGAGCAGATGGTGGGGGTTAAGGGCCTTGCTCAGGGGCCCAGAGTGGGGCGAATGAGCGTGGAGGCAGGTGTGGGTGTTCCACCTTTTCCACCCACATTTTGATGTTGACGGTACCAGGAGTTGAACCTGCGACTTTCCAATCACAGGCCCATCTTCTAACCTCTGCGCCACCACTCCCCTATCCACTGAGGTTAGGGTTGATGCAGACTTCTGCACCTCTGTGTCTCTTCTTGAATCTTCTCTGTGGTTCTCTGGGGTTTAGGGCTCTGATCATCTCCCTAATTGACATGAGAACAAAACATCAAGAATAACATGGTTGTGTTATTATTGATCAAAAACCATTAACCAGGCTGAGAGATAAAGGCTTAACTGGTCAACAGTATCCTTCACAGCTTACTTACCTCCACCATGCTACGACGAAGCTTTAGTGCCACGCTAAGAAAAAATAAATGCCATAAATTTAGGAAAGTATGTTGTAGAATTATGAGAATTATGAGAATAAAGTCGTAAAGTCGTCGTTTTTTTTTTTTTTTTTTTTTTTTTTTTTTACAGCTGTCAATTTTTTTTTCTCCATGAGTTGGAGCCATGATGCAACCTGTCAATCAATCCAGTAGGCGTGTCAGAAAATGACCAATCTGAAGCTAAATGCTCCTTACCTGCAGAGAGCTGGAACGTACCACCTTACTGTAAGCAGGTTCAAAGTCTTGATATTGATAATAATCTGACACTGATGTTCTAACAGATTACGCAGTTTTTCCTCACTGAGCGCCGTTTTCAAACGGAAACAAAAACGAAAGTCATGACGTAATGACGTCGAGTATGTGCGTCTCATAAGCAGCATACCAAAACACAACAGTAGGTGGCAGTATTGGAACATGTTGTGAGTAAGAACGTCAATAACAACAAAGTTTAACAAACATTCTTCAGTTTACCACAGTTAAGATGCAGTAAACCTGCTTCATTGTGTCGGAGTTCAGATAATATTTCAACTCATTTAATTTCAGATTGGTCATTTGCTGACACGCCTACTGGATTGATTGACAGGTTGCATTGTGGATCCGACTCGTGGAAAAAAAATTAATTACGGCTGTAAAAAAAAAAAAAAGTCTTGTACGACTTTATTCTCGTATTACTATGACTTTATTCTCATAATTTTATGGCTTTTATTTTTATTTTCTTAGCGTGGCCCTAAAGCTCTGTCGTACCATGCAGCCTCCACTGTAGAAAAAGGCAGCAACTTTTTAACAGAAAGTTTGTGACTGTCCTGTGGCCCCCCCATCTCACTTTTCTTTTGTCTGTCTCTGTCCTCCTCACATCAGAGTCAGAGGTTCCTGTGAGGAGAACATTCACATAAAAAAATGTTTGGAAATTTCTTCCATTACAAGTTGCTTTTCGATTCTGTCTTGCTTTTTGTAGTTTTCCCGGCTTCTTCCTTTGCTTATCCCACTCATGCCTTAGTTTTGTCTAACAAATTACTGTTTGGTTGTGGGTGTTTTTCACCTGACTCTGGAGAGCCAGTTGGCTATGCTCCTGTTCTCTCCATTTCTCTTGTCTACATGTAATTCTGGGTCTGGCAGAAACGTTTTTAATATTTCTGTCAAACTAACCATATAATAAGAAATGTAACGTAAAGGTTTAAATGATCAAACTTTGGATGGACCATTGTGAAATTCTGAGGACAGGAGATGTTTTAAGACTTAAAGTAGGTCTGTATTGACGAGCTGGAGTCTTGAAACTCTCCAGTCTTCTTGATTCATTCAACCTTTATTTAGACACGTTAATCCCATTGAGCCTCGAGGACTCATTTACAAGAGAGACCTGATTTCAACAAAGAATGATGACAACAATGGACAATAGCGACAACAATAAACAGTTATAAAAAGTCATACAAATTTTTTTTTTTTTTTTTTAACAAATAGGATGGCTAAAAAAAAGAAAAGTGAAAAGAAAAGTAACAAAAAACAGCTAGATTATAAGGCGAATGTAGAAAACTAAAAACAGGAACATGTCTGCGTTGGTCCCTGCCAGGAGTCCAACAGATTCTTAAAGCCACTTAGAGAGGTCAAGGTCGAGAGCTTCAAATCTTTTTGTAAGATATTCCAGGAAACAGGAGCGGAGTACGAGTTTTGCCTAGTTCAGTTGGCACTGAGAGAACACTGCAGGTAATAATGTCCTGAGAGCGCACGCTGTAGCTGCACTCACGCAGAGACATGCAGACGGAGATGTATGAAGGCAGCAGACCAAGAAGATGATGTAATATTTTGCACCTTTATTGTCAGTTTTTGCATTACAGATGTATTTCTGCTGAAATATTGAGAAGTTTCTGTAGATGTAGCCACAGATGAGCTACACGTGGCCACTGCTTGTTTGTAAATAAACTAAATATAATTCATCCATCCATTCATCATCTTTTACTTCCTTTTTGGCTAGTGGGGGTCACTGGTGTCCATGTCCAGCAGTCACTCTGCGAGAGGCAGGGGACACCTGGACAGGTCTCCAGTCCATCACAGGACCACATACTGTAGATACAAACAACCACTCACTCTCTCACTCTCACCTAGGGACAATTTAGAGTTATCAATCAGCCTAACATGCATGTTTTTGGTCTAATCCTTGTTATAAATTAATTACCAAGTGTTTAAAACTGGATCTGTTTTAAGACAGCAGTAATCCACTTCAGCTACATTTGGACCAGCAGTTAGCTCATGACTTTGTGTAAAGAACTATCTAGAACAGGTAAAATACTTACCACTTTTGGCTTTTAAGCCCACTTCAAAATAACCCAACTATTTTTTAATTGTCTCCTCACTATTAAAGTTATTCCAACAACAGTTGTGTGGTTGCTCAGAGAGCCATGATGTGTGTCTCATGCAGAGGACCAGCAGCTGTTGGTGATTAAAGAAGAGGAGGACCTTCATCTGTGGAGCTCCAGTTTGGACCAGCAGGACGTAGAACTTGTTAAAATAAAGGAGGAAGAGGAGGAACTCTGGACCAATCAGGAGGGAGAGCAGCTCGCAGTGAGGAGTGAAGACGATGACACGCCTGAGGTATTCCAGCTTCATCGAATCAAAGCTGAAGACAGAGAGACACAAACTAATGGAGAGGACTGTGGAGGACCAGAACCGGACAGGACTCCAGGTCCGCTCGGAGCTGAACGGCAGCCAGGTGAGTTGAAATACAGTTTAAACTCTGCCAGCCTGTCCCTCCCTGACACTGATCTCTACCTCTGCAGAAAACTAGTCAGACAACTTGGAAACAGAATTGGGCCTCGGACCAGTTTATGGTACTGGTTAAAACTGCAGGAGCTTCAGCAAACGTCCCTGTTGCTCATTTATTTTAGTAATGTGAGAAAAATCAACTGGTACAGATTCACAGCAGCTATAAAAAATACAGTACTGAGGTTTAATTGAGGCGTTTTGTTTCAGTGTTTTAATTTACTTTAATCCACTATAAAATAAAGGATGCTTGTTAGGTCAAGAAATGTTTTATGTTCAAAGTGAAAATGATAGAAAAAAAATAGAAGCGTTTGTTAAAACATTTCTACTGATTTCACAAAGTTCAGTAATTATTTTAATATGAAAAATGTAACAAATCTTTTGACCTTTAATGGCCACCGCCTGTATTACATTAAACACTTGAACTTTGCTGCAGTCTGGACTGAAAGCGTCCTGTCAGAGCCTCTTCCTACAACCTGAACCTTCGGAGTCCTCCCACAGACCATAAACATGCACCAGGTACATGTCTAGGTGTCCCTGTGATGGACTGAGACCTGTCCAGGTGTCCCTGTGATGGACGGGGGGGGGGGGGGGGGGGGGGGGG